CGTAGTAATCGGGGGGGGGGGGGCAAATAATTTTGCTGATATATAGAATACTATAGAAAACATAGTTACTATATGAGTGTGCCCCCTCAATAAAAACGTCTGAGGACCTTTTTTTTTTTTTTTTTTTTTTTTTTTTTTTTTTTTTTTTTTTTTTTTAGCTTGTCAAGTAATTTTGGTAGTTGATAGTGCCCCCTACTGAAATTATATGGTTGTGCCCCCTCAAAGTGAAATTGCTTCCTTTGGGCCTTTTAATTTCTTTATATTACACGTTTTATATCTTTCTTGGATTTGCCCCCCCCCCCTCCTTTTAAGTTTGTGACTAAGCCTCTATCTAGTATTTAGACCTGTACTCGGCACTTATACGGGCTTTGAGTAGTGGGGGGTCTTTTTCGTGCCAGCACTGACCTACTGCGATACGGGACCTCGGTTTACAGGGTCTCATCCGAAGGAGCAGTCTCCACGCCCCGTAGATCTGCGATGTACGGATCATCTCCTTCTTCCTTACTGGAGCAAACGCTCTAGCAACTGCGCCTCGCAGGCGACAAAAATAGGAAGAAGTCAACATTATTATTGAGGAGGTCCATCCATAAGTAGCTCTATTTTCTCAGAGTAATATACGATATATCGAAATATCGATCGATAATGTTGATTCTATTTGATGATGGTACGCATTTCGATACGTGTGTAGAAATTCGATACGGAACAGGCCCGTAGGAAGCAATCACACTTTGAGGGGGACAACCATACATTTTCAGTTGGGGGGCACTATCAACTTCCAAAATTCCTTGACGAGCAAAAAAAAAAAAAATAACACACACACACACAAAAACAAGATGTGTTTGTGAAACAATGATGTCCCCGTATGGCAACTTATAGAGAAGGTTAAACTTACTAAAATGCAAATCAAATATGTTGGTACCCAAAGTAAGGTCTCGTCGAGGAATATACCTGTGAAATATGAAAGTCCTAGCAGCAACCTTTGAATAGATATGGAAAAGGTTAAAGTTTTTCAAAAGTAAGTCAAACATCAAGGTCAAGGTCAAATGGTCAAAATTAATGGTGTCCAAGGTAAAGCCTTCTCACAAGAAATACACTTGTGAAATATGAAAGCCCTAGCACCAACCGTTCAAAAGGTATGGCCAAGATTAAAGTTTCCAAAAGTAGGTCAAATTCCAAGGTCAAGGTCAAAGGGTCAAAGTTTTTGGTATTCAAAGGAAGGTATTGTCACAAGAATTACACAAGTGAAGTATGAAACCCTAGCAGCAACCGTTAAAAAGTTATGGCCAAGGTTAAAGTTTTTTCAAAAGAAGGTCAAACTCCTAGGTCAAGGACAAATGGTCAAAGTTGTTGGTATACAAAGGAAGGTTTTGTTACAAGAAATACACATGTGAAGTACTTACTAGCTCCAACCGTTCAAAAGTTATGGCCAAGTTAAAGTTTTTCAAAAGTAGGTCAAACTCAAAGTTTATGGACAAAAGGTCAAAGTTGTTGGTATCCAAAGGAAGGCCTTGTCACAAGGATAACAAATGTGAAGTATGAAAGCCCTAGCACCAAAGTTCAAAAGTTTATGCCAATGTTAAAGTTGGTTTAAGTTTTGCAATACTGGTTCAAACTCCAAGGTCAAATATCAAAAGTCAAATATGATGGTGCCCAAAGAAAGGTCCTGTCACAAGGTATACACATGTGAAATATGAAAGTCATAGCTCCAACCAATCAAAAGTTATGGGCAATGTTAAAGTTTTTGCGGACAAACAGATAAACAGACAGACAGACAGCTAGACGGACAGGGTAAAAACTATATACCCCGAATCTTCGATTACGGGGCATAAAAAACAAAAACAAAAAAAGGTCATCAGACGTTATTATTGAAGGAGCACAAGCATGTTTTCTATAGTATTCTTTATATCAGCAAAATTATTTGGGGAGGGAGGGCACAGCCCCCCCCCCCCCCCCTCGGTTCCTACGGCCATGCGGAAGACAAAATTTCAGACTTTTTTTTTATTCATCCGTTACCTTGGATATCATTAATAAAGCATAGTTTGGTCTTTAAAAAAAAGAGAAAATTTGACAAGCTTATCTCCAAAATTAAAATTATATGACTTAAGTTTGTTGAAAATTCTCTCTCCGATGAAAATTGTCACCACATATTACAACGCAAATAGGAAACAGATGAGGATTTACAAATGTATTATTGTAAAACCTAAAGCACTTAATTATTTGAAGAAAAAAAAAGAATTGCTCTTTTTTCAATATCAGAGATAATTTTAAAAAAATCCGAGAAATGAATTTTTACGAAAGCCCATTGAGCTCATTTTCGTAGGTAAAAAAATATATTTTTCGCGTTATAACGCGTAACTTTCGCAAATAAATGCGTAACTTTCGCGAATAAACGCGAAACTTTCGCGTTATAACGCGAAATAATATATTTATAGTCATGTTACTCAGGAACCTGTGATGTTGACTGACAGATAAAAACATGAACGCAGAGGGGGACTTCTATGGATTTATAAATGACATTTCTTCAGAAGACGTAAATGAGAATTGATGCGAGAAATGGATAGATTAGTGTTGATTTTACATTTAATCTCAAAACCTTACTAATTAATTAAATGAATATTCCTTTAAAGATTTTCTTGTTTTTCACTTGTTGAATCCAAGAAATTCTTTAGACTAATTTTTTTCTCAGGAAGATCTCCACTCGTTGCTTTCTTTGAATAAATTGTCAATGTTTTCGTAAGTAATGGTATGACCAAGTGGTGCAACCTTAAAATACAATGTTGTATTTCTACAGTGAGTCTATTGGAAATGAATCATTTGATACGAATATTTGTCATCCAATTTTCACATTAGCTTACTCATGTGATGTGACACAATTGTTCCGTGAAATATACAAATTTACCTCATAGTTGTCAATTTTCTGAGATCTTTTATTTCAAATTCTATAGAGAGTGTTCAATCTAATTAAAATTAGACATGTATTTTCGCTCCTGTACTCTACGCTTCAACACTTGTATTGAACAGCATTGAGAAAGACAAAATGTGACGACAAAAAAGATTTAGAAAGAAGAGAGACACATTCATTGGCGAGAAAACATAAAATTTCAGCTTGTGATAATCCAAGTTCAAAACAGTCTTTCGTTTTTCATTGTAATGAATAAACTAGATCATTAAAAAGTAAAACAAACTGTAGACTTATGTAAATGTCTCTGTTATACAGGGAAAGTTTCGCGTTATAACGCGTTTATTCGCGAAAGTTTCGCGTTTATTTGCGAAAGTTACGCGTTTATTCGTGAAAGTTTCGCGTTTATTCCCGAAAGTTACGTGTTTATTCGCGAAAGTTTCGGGTTATAACCCGAAAAATATATTTTTTTTACCTACGAAAATGAGCTCAATAGGCTTTCGTAAATTTTAGCTAAGTGAAAATGAGGAAAAGTTCTTTTTTGTTCAGCATTTTATGCCCACGTAATCGAAGATTCGAAAGCATATAGTTTTTGTCATATCCGTCTATAGCTATCTGTCTGTTTGTCCGCAAAAACATTAACCTTGGTCATAACTTTTGATTGGTTGGAGCTTTGGCATGTGTATTCACTGTCACAACACCTTTCTTTGGGTATCAAACATATCTGAACTCTTGATCTTGGAGTCTGACCAACTTTTGCTAAATTTTACCACACTTTAACCTTGTCCATAACTCAGTTTTGAATGGTTGGTGCTGGGGCTTTCATACTTCACATGTGTACATGTATTTCTTGTGATAAGACTTTTTCTCGAGTACATCACAATTTTTTTACCCTTTGACCTTGACCTTGGAGTTTGACCCCTTTTAAAAACTTTAACATTGATCATAACTTTTTAACGGTTGGTACTATATAGGGTTTTCATATTTCAAAGGTGATAACCTTGGAAAAAAATACCTTTCCTTGGGTACCAAGAATTTAAACCCTTTGACCTTGACCTTTGAGACTGATCTACTTTTGAAAAACTTTAACCTTTGCAATAACTTTTGAACGGTTGGTGCTTAAGCTTTCATATTTCACAGGTACGTGTATTCATTGTGATAAGTCCTTCTCTTGGATACCAACAATTTTTTACTCTTTGAACTTGGAGTTTGACCTACTTTTGAAAAACTCTAACCTTAAGCTTGGCAATAACTTTTGAACAGTTGGGGATAGGGCTTTCATATTAACTGTTTTCCTTAGGACAAGACCTTCCCTTGGGTGTCAACAATTTTGATCCGTTTACGTTGACCTTGGGACTTTGACTTGCATTTGAAAAACTTTAACCTTCATCGTTAGCTGCCATACGGGGGCATCAGTGTTTCACAGTGTTTCACATCTTGTTTGTTTTTTTAGGAGGGGGGTTGCTTTGTTTAATTTGATTTGCTTTTTTGTGCATTGCTCATACATCCCATCATTCAGGGTTAAAAAACTTTAATGTTTAAGTTTCAAATAGAGATTATAATATACTCCTACCCTGATATGATATAATTAGCCACTGTTAGCTAGGACATATTGACGGAAGGGGAGGGGAGCCAAGAAGTTATACACTGGCGGATTTAGAGGGGGCAGGGGGCCCGGGCTCTCCATTTGTGTCCAAAATATACATAAGAATTAATAAATCAATTTTTTGGTGTTACCGTGGGCTCCTACGTATACCCCGACTCCAAACTGCCCCCCCCCTTTCAAGATTCCTGGATCCGCCGCTGTTATCAGGAGCCAAGAAGAACTATTATAACATAGACTATACGCCGTTGGCTTATGTTGATTCTGGATGGTTAAAATTTTTTCAGTTGAAAACAGATGAACAAGGATTTTATGAATGGGTCCTTCATCTCATGTATGAATGTCATTCGGCAAACATCGGCTGATTCCGTCACCTTCATCAAACGGTACGAATCGGCCGAGGTGTGCCGAGTGGTATGAATTTTGAATTTTCGCGCTATTTTCTCATAATGCTCATTTCCGGAAATGACTAGGCGGATCTAAGTTGATCCGGGCATTTTGATAATGCGCGTCTCAAAATGGCGCTGGAAGAAGATTTTGGATAATTAAAAAAATATCTTTTTAATGGTGCGCAAGAAAGATATATTATTATTGCAACTGTAAAAATGTCAACCATGAGAAGAAGATCGCAGACCGGTCCTCGGACCGACACGACGCACGACATTTTTGTGTACATGACTCTTGGAAGATACCCTGATGGCGCAAATGAAAATGCGAAGAGGAACCTTAGAAAACGATCAAAATTGTTCAAACTGAAGGGCAGCGAGCTGTTTCATGTCTCTACAATTAAAGATAAATTCGGAAAAGATGTGCAGAGAGAGAGACTTGTTCTCACAGATAGTGCTGAGAGAAATAAAGTTATTGGCGAACTGCATGTGGATGATAAAGGTACCACGAGTTGAACAATGGCGGATCATGAAGGGTGGAATGACAATAATGATTAAATTAGAAATAACACTTAAACGTGTAATCGGTTATTATGTGCATTTTCATTTTTGCTCGATGTGAACTTGAATTGAAATGAATTTTAAAGGTCGTCATAAAAAATGAAATGAGAAGTTGTAAAAGAGAAAAAAATACTGCTGCTGAAAAATGTTGGGGGGGGGGGGTTAATGGGTTATAAAATGCAGTGTTTAGCGCAGGGGATTGCTCCCAGTGTGTAAAAAAATATATATATATAATTAAAAAACTCATTTTCTAACGACTAAAACAACACAAGGGAGCCTTCCTTGCATCAGGCTCCGTTTTCACTTTTTTTTTACCCTTATTCTATGGACACACTGCCCAAGGTCTTTTAAATAATCATTCTTATAAGTCATTATGCTTTAATTATTATCAATCTTTAGGATGTTCTTCAAGGAGAAAAAGCAGAACAAAACATTCAGAAGCTTTAGAGTTCATGTACCAATAAGTTAAACTGCTTATTATAAAATGTTCTTTATAGAAAAAAATGCATTCTCATTCTGTATTGGTATATAAAGTTCCTAGGTTACTTTACTTTTTTATGGTGTCTAGAAACTTAAACTTCTTCACTGATGAAAGTGCGTGAATATTGTGTTTTCATCGATATCAAATAAAAAATGTGTTATGAATCATTTTTAAAAGGAAAAATTTCAAGAACTGGAAAGTATTGAAACAATGTCAGGAATTCTTGTCTAATCTAGCAAAACACACTAGGATTTTGATATTTCATATATTTTATTTTCAGGCAATCATTTGGGGAGGGAAAAAGTCCTCTCTGCCCTTTCAGAGAAGTACTATTTTGTGGGGATGAACAATAAAGTCAGAGAGTATCTTCTGAATTGTTCTTCCTGTCGCACACGTTTCAAGCTGACTGATCAAGGAATGTCCTCTGATGGAAGTGTATCTGCTACATCAGATTTCGAAGATATGGATGACTCAGATTCCAATGTATCGTTTTCTGAAGACACTAAGCCAATCAAGAGTGAATGGCCTGCTCGATCCCAAGAAGCCCTTCATTTCTGGGACATAGTAAGTTACTAAGTACATGCGATGAAAAGAATAAGCTACACAGACATTGTATTGAATTCTTCGTTGATTTATTACAACTGTTGAATAAGGTTCAATTCTTTGAAAACACAGTAAATGTAATTTAAGATAAAAATAAGAAATTATATTAAAATCATTCAAGATAATTTAAAACCCATTTTGACAGTTAACCAAGCAAAAGGTGTATGCCACTTGGATAGAAAAATAGGAAGACAAATGATTTGACTTTGATCTTTAGTTCAGTAGATCTATTTGTGTACTTTTACTCTGAAGACAATGTGTAATGCAAGACATTTTAACCAAATGAAAATGTTCTACAGGTGGAGATGAATGTGCTCGGCCCATATGATTGTATAGACAGTAAACACTACATCATTGTATTTTTGGACCTGTTTTCTAACTGGCCAGAAGCCTTTGTTGTGGACTCTGTCACTCCAGCAGTTGTAACACACCTGACTCTCAACCTCATATGCAGGTAACCAAGAACCATCAAGTCCCCCCCCCCCCCCCTTTTATTCACAGAAATACCATGCCTTAGTAAAAATTTAATAAATTATCTTTTTAAAATGTGAAACACGTAAATAATGGTTGTAGAAAATTAATTTCTGGTTTAAGGTTTTGAGTTTTACTTACAGGTTTGGATGCATGAAGACTATGATGATCCGGGAATCTTCCAATTACTCCAAAGATGATCTTACCCCTCTACAGAAAACACTAGAGGAAGCTGGCATTGATATTAATGTCAATCCTTTTTCTTCTGCTCTCTCAGGTGATTGAGTTGTTTTCGCTTTTGATAATTGTAAGCAATTGAATTCTTTTAGTTAGATATGAATTTTTTTAAGTCTTTTTAAGATCTGTTGTCTTGCAATTGCTGTAAATTTACCAGAGTTAAGATAATGCTTGTTAATTATTGCAGATAAAATCTGGAAAGAGATAGCAGATAACTTGAATTCATTTACAACAAACAATTCTCATTGGCCACACTGCCTAGAGTTTGCTCTGTTACCACACAGAGTGTCACGAGCTGAACGGTCCGAGTACACCCCAGCTTACATTACTTACGGAAGGTAAATCACAGAAGAGTGTAATAGCACAGGATAATCATTAAAAGTATAATATTGACTCAAGCACCAAAATTTTGGATATTAGTACGGTAAAACACGCTTATAGCAAAGTGCCAGGGACAGACAATTTTGATTGATTGAAAAATATTTCATTACATCCATAAAGTTCATAATGTTTTAGTAAATACACGGAGTGAAAATCACTTTGCTGTTATTTTGTGAATTTTATAATAAATGGGTTTGTTATGTACATGTCAAAGCCTATGCAAATGTTTCCTTTGTTTTGTACATATTTAATCATGTTTGTATTATGTTTTGTAGAGAACTTAATCTGCCTTCAAGTATGAACAAAGGAGATGGTGATAATTTTCCTTCAGCAGAGCCTCATCTGAGCTTGGAAGATATGACAGCATTAACAGAAAAGTTTGAGAAAGCTTACTCATCATATGGCAAAAACATTCAGGCTTGGAACTCCTGCTCTCAGCCTTTCTGTGTTATACCATCACTTAACTCGAGTGAGCCAGCTCGTCAACCTGGTAAGAGAGGAAGAAAAAAGAAAAATCCTGTACCTGCTCCTCCTCCTCAAGAGGATTTTAGTTCTGATAAAGAGGCTGAGGAAGACATGCCCCCTCCAGCTACAAATGTAACCCCCAGAACTGCAGGTCGCAAAAGGAAACGCAATATTAGTCGCATCACTCGCCTGATCAATGCAGAAAATGATGATGATGAGGATGGACTGCCAGACCAAGATCCAGATGATAAAGATTACTGTCCCACAAGCAAGATGGTCAAAGTCAACACAGAACAGGTGAGTGATTTACTTTCTGTCATAGATGGGGGAAGGCTATTTGAAGAAAAGGTAACTGATACAAATGCATGCATGCATAAATTTGTAAAGAGACAATTGGAAGAGGTGAAAGAGTTGATTAATACATCAGAATGAGATGCATTATTTCTTTTTCCCGCATTAATATTAATGGTGGTGTTAGGTTTGCCTAAGAAGAATTGTTGTTTTTATTGAACTAGTTTTCTCTTTCCTTGCCTCTGAAGAAAAATCCAGATGGGAAATGCATCTGATTCTAGGATGGTCCTAAATTTTCAAAATATTTTCTTTTCAAAAACTCTGAAAGATAACCAGACTGGATAACTTCTCAGTAAAATTAAAATTTATGTTGATTTCTGATGCATCTCCCATCTTGACTTTTCAGGATGGGGAATCTCCGGGCCCCAAACCACCACTGGTCATGAAGCTTACTCCACCCACACCAAAGAAGCACATTTGTAATGGATGTGGTAAGGAGTTCTCACGTTCTGATGTCCTTAGACGGCACATCCGAGAGATGCACGAAACACACGAGTCCATGATAAACATCTGTCCCGAATGTGGCATATGCATTAAGAGGAAGCATCACCTTGCAAGACACATCAAACAAGTCCATAGTAAAGGTTGTGAATGTAAAGCTTGTGGAGAAATGTTTGGAAATAAAGTGGAACTCAAGGAGCACATTTCAACAGCTCATGATGGATACAACTGTGAGAAATGTAACAGGAACTATACCTCCAAATCTGGACTTAAGTTTCATATTGCACAAGAGCATGAGCAGAAATACCCATGTCCCATATGTGGTAAATCCTCCGGATCAAGTTCAAGCTTTAACAAACATTTGGCTTCACATACTGAAGGAGCAGACATCAAGTGTCCCCACTGTCGGTACATATTTCCAAACAAAGATTTATTCATGGCTCACAGAGAGTCTTGTCGAATTTCCCGGGCTTACACTTGCAGTCATTGTGGTAAAGGCTTTCCAAGCAAAAATTCATTCCAGCATCATGAGGCAACACATTTTGATGGAAAGTTTCCATGTCACCTCTGTGGAATAAAATTCTCCTTTAGCACCAATCTTAATCGTCACATTAGAACTGTTCATCTTGCAAAAACAGAATCTGAGGATAGCAAGCAATCAGATTCATCTCCAGATAAAACAAGCTTAGACCAAAGTGGTAATTTATCTGAAGTTGAGAAAACTGATAATATATTTGAATCAGGAGTTGCAGGTGGAATGGAAGAATGCCATAATAACAGTCTTAACCAAATTGTAGAAGCCATCAAACTACAGGTGGAGAGGAGAATATCAGCAGGGTACTGTGGAAATGGTGAAACTGCAGGAAAACAGAGTGTAGGAACTGATGCTATGGAAACAGATGAAGGTAGCACATCCCAGAAGAGTCTAGAATCTATAAGCAGTAATCAGCTGGCCAGACAACTCACATCATCTGAAAAGGAGCCAAGTAGTCACGTACAACAGGCCACTTCTACAAAACCAGCAGCATCTTCCAGAGTACAAGAATTTGCCCTATCAGGAGTTTCAACGGAAACACAAAAGAGACCTGATGGTGGAAACTTTTGGATAGCTCTTCAAGATGCCACAGGGAAGACTGCAAAAAATGTGATTTTAGGACAACAAAATGCATACCAAGTGGATAAGATGCCAACTCAGGTCATCGCAAGCACAGAAAATTCATCATCAACTCCTGCTCAAGTGTACTCAAGTGTGGGAAAGAAAACACTGACTAATACATTTAGTGAACCCTTAAGCCAAATATCTGGTGCTCCTGAGTCCTCTATCCCTTCAACTTATCACATTATTTCTGATCAGTCACTGATATCACAGCTGAAGAGCACAGCCAGCCCCAGTGTTTCTTCATACCGAGTCATTACTACAGACAGAGCTGCCCAGTCAAAACCAGTGCTACCCAACATCTATACTGTCATGACAACTGATCCCACAAAAGCCAAAGCAACTAGTATTCTTCCAAGCACATATGTGGCTCCAACAAGTGAACAACTACAGTTAGCTGCTCAGAAACCACAACCCATTGTCATTGCTGCAGGACAGGTACAAAAATCAGTGCCACTCACATACACTGTCCAACAACCAGCAGCTACCAATGTTCAGAAAGTACCAGCTGGCTCACAAAGTGAGCTGGTTTCTCACATTCAAAAGATTCTCCCTGAGGCTTACAGTGAAGTGCAAGCTGCATTGCTTCAGAAAGTGCAGAGTGGATCCTTTGGTCTTGTCACTGATGAAAATTCTGCTGTAGCTTACAGTTTACCATCATCTGATGACACAAACAAAGATCCCACAAGTGTTACTGCTTACAATGTTGTCATTAAAGAAGCAGGGGCCACAGAACGAACAGTTGTTACTGAAGCAGGTGATAGTCTACCTGCTGCATCAAATGCAGGTCATCATGTTACAGAAAACCCAAAAATTTCTCCAGGTGAGAGTACAGACACCAGAATAGGGTTCTCTGGAACCCCAGCTGATCCTGTGCAAGAAACAGTGCAGTTTTCTCCTGAATTGACCACCCAGGAGCAAGAGGCAGTACAGTATGACATGGTGCCTTCAAATCCAGAGTTGATGACCTCTGACCCAACCCCTGACCCCTATCCTTCAGAGGTTGGTGATAACAGTGGAACTACTTATACTGTATCTACAGATTCAATACAGGCAGATGAAGAGACAAAGGTCGAGGATACAATATACACTGATGCAGCAACAGAAAATGTGGAGAACTTGATGCAGCTCTCTGAACCTACACAAACAAATATTGCAGTGGTTGAGTCGGAGGGTCAGACTGTTGTGACTTCAAATTCCTAGTGATATTAAATTAGCTTATCATAAATATTAGTACATGTACTATGTTGGTAGGACATTGTGAAAAGCAATTTCCCATTCCACGTGTGTAAAACTTGTATATTATTGAGTAATTGTGTTTATTGATGTTGATAGTGAATTTAATCACACATAATTTACCACCTACCAGACATGATATACTGGAGAGTAAAATCTAGTTAAACGCATTTTATTTTGTAAAACTTTTTACTCTTTTCTTTTTATTCCTTGTGAAGCATAGAAATTTATGTGGTGTCTTATTCCTAAACTTTAGAAGGAATTAATTGTTGTGTTTCAATGTACAGTAGAATCATCCTTTGGTTGTAATTTGTACATACTTGATTATGATGTATTTTTTAAAAGAGTTTACCGAGATTTTCTGTTAGATATGCACTGTCACTCCTCAAAGGCTTAATCATGACTTTCAGCAATTGTTTTAAAATATGTATAGTAAAACAAGGTTACAGCATACATGCTGCTTATAATGAATCCATGCATAGAGTTAAGTGATTATCAATCCCAGAAGTTTTTAAGCTTATTATGAACTTATCAAATATAAAAGATTTGTTTATAACAATTCCAAATTGTTCGTAACTGGCAATTTAATATGCTGTAAGTGTGTTTTCCTTCACAAACAAATTGTACTGAAAAAATAAACTGTGTTTTTGGAATAGTGGGGCGACAGGGGTGTCTTGCTGTGTATATAAAGATATAAACAGATCACCAACACATATGTACATGAACTTGTGTGCCATTATTATATATCTTTGATCCCAGTCCATGCTCATACTTTTTAAAGTAGATCATTGTCAATAAATTTAATAGTTAATAATAGGGATGTGCGATTTCATCGGTATACCAGTATATTTTGATTTTTTATTGCGCGATACATATTGTGATATGGAGGCTGAAATACTGTTATTAAGTATGTTATATTATAAATTCAAGAAATATTTTTTTTTGTTCAAACTCTTGAATGACAATTACAGGAATTGTAAAAAATGTTGTAAAATGTAAAACAACAGCATGCTAGCATCAAAACATGCTTTATTAATAAACATGTATAAATAAAAATGAAAAAAGGGAAGTTATGTTTTCACACTATACATGTATTTGTTAAGAAAATCATGGACATTCATTTGAACTCAGAGAGAAAATTATGTGTAAAACATGATATTATCATGATATTTTTGGGGGGAAATCATGATATAATGTGATACAAAATTTTTGGCGATACCCATTCCTAGTTAATAATTTAATTTTGGTCGTAATACATGATTTGATTGGATAGAAACTTAATTTATATCATGTAAACTGTTTGCAATGTCACACAATATGAGTTGCCTCAAAACCATATCAATCTGAAGCTGCTTGAGGTTGCATTTAAATTTTGTACAATTGGAAGTTATTTTTGAAGGGAAATTGTTTTATTCTTTACACTTATGATGAAAAATTAAATTATAAGGAATGAATTTAATAGCTACCAAGTTATACACGCATAACCTCGGTTGGAAGAGTTTAAACTTTCTAATAAACCTCTTTGTAAAGTGTCCTAACCCAGATTGTACAGTAATAAATTGGGTAGCATTCCTTAAATGTCTGATTTCATTTTCCCTGTTAAAAATGTTGAATATTGATCATGTTTTTATATTTGTATATATACATTAAGATGTATAGCATTTAGTGGATCATTTCTAATTTGTTAAGAGTAATAATACCTTTTTGAAAATGTATTATCATATTATATCTGTATGATGTGCTCTATGTTTTAAAGTAATAAAGCAATGATCTGTACTTTTGTTTTATGAAGATTCTGATATCGGTTTGATTACAAGTACTCAAACTTGAAGTAAGGTAATGTTTGGAGTGATGATTTAGATTTGGCTGGTGATGTACCAGAAACAAAGAAGTCTATGAAATAAACCCTCATCTGTAAACAAAGCTCATGAATATGTTTGAATTTAATTTTTGATCATTGAAAATGTTTGAACATTTTCATTTTTTTTTCTGAAATGAAAAACGGATTTGATTTTCCAATGGCTTTTCTTTTATCTTGGAACAGAATAAACAGTTAAAATATTGTCATCTTGGAAAAGAAAATCTACCATTCATTAAACAATTGTTTAAAAACTTTCCTATTCCTCTACTACTGTAGAGTTAGAGAATGTATGCATAACTGTACCAAAGAAGTGAGGATTGTCATTCAAGAATTTGCTATACAAGAGCACAACTGTTAATGCTTTGTAGGGTTAGGGTTGATCATATGAAGATTTCACTGGACTTGCCTAAGAGATTAGGAAAAATTTAGTGTTGTTTCAAACTATGTATCAAATGTAGATTGTTCGAAATGGCAATATGTGTATAGGTATTGAGTTATATTTTTGTTTGATTGGTCACCAGGGGCCATTTTACAAAAGAAATTATGACTAAGACCAAAAAACATGAGTCAATTGTAAAAACTTGCATAATAAATGATTCTATTAAAAGTTGGACGTAGAAATTTATCTTTCCAAATTGTTTTAAAAAAGAATAAAATCATTTTCAAATTAATGTAAAAAAGAAATTACATTTTGGTCTGAGTCATAAGTTCTTTTGTAAAACAGGGCCCTGTTTAGCTGTCCTGATACAGTATAATTTCAACTAGACTGCAGAAAAATTTCTGGATTTTTTCAGAAATTATGAAGCACATTTTGTGCTTTTCAAATAAAATGACAGTACATGTATAGAAAATCCAACATGCTTCTCTGCAATATGATTTTAAATTCTCTCAAGGGGATTTTAACTTCAACAATGTATGATACACCTTTCACAAAACGTAATACATGGAAAATGAATAAGAATAGGTAAAATATTGATAAGCCCTGTCATACTGATTGGGTAAATGTTGGTATGTTCAACATGGGATCTTTGCTTTTAACTCTTTGCAAACCAGGGTGTGCAACCTGATATTCTTTAGTTGTTGATAACACTGTCGAGCTTGTTCAAAATAGGAGTATCAACCTAAATTTAAACTGCAACTTGTCTATACAGAACATACCGGTACTCTGTATTTTAAAAAATCCAAGGTCAGACAATATCTGTATCAAAGGATTGATGCAATTTTTTCCGTGAAATATATGCACTGTATAGAGTGTTGTTAAAACCATTGGCTATCTCATCTAGAAAGTGACATTGTGAGAGGGTTGGGGGAGGGAGGCTAGTGTTGCCCTCCTCTCAAATTGTTACCCTCCTGCTCCAATTTTGCTACTCCTCACTCTTGAGATAGTGAGTAACCCTAACAGTACAGCTTTGTTTTGCAGAAATATTCAAATTTTTTTATTACACAAAAAACGCATTGTTTTTTTCACAAAAGACAGTACATGACAAGAAAATGTGATTTTACTGACTGAAAATCTTTTGTAGTTATCTCAGGACTGAAATTATTATGCTTTGAAGAATTCATAATAATTATATGCAATATAATTTTCTAGGAACTTGATGCATATTACCAAGCCATCTACAAATACAAGAAATACAAGGCATACATGCCAGGTTGTCCAGATAATTATAAAAGAGTTTTACGGAAGTCCGCACTCAGCTATTATTTGTTTGATGACAAGCTTTACTACATGACGGAAGGTGAACTGCGCTATGTTCCTACAACTTGGAAAGAAAGATTGTATTATCTTGTCAAATGCCACATCAATGGAAAAGGTTTGTAAATAAAGTGTGGAAATTCCTGCAAAATTATGTATCTCAGTGAGCTCTTTGGAAAAATATATAGTCTTGTGTAATATCCCAGATAACTAATATACAGACCTATATTAAGTAGTTGTTGCAGTAAGGTAAGGATGTTGATATTACTATAAGGATTTCATGCTTTCAGGTAAACATGTCTGTAAGAATATGATGGCCCAGTGGATGACTGAAAAGAAGATTGTTTGGAAGGGAATTTCTGTTGACTGTACAGCGTTTGCTGCTGCCTGTCCTCACTGTACACTTGGAGAAGCCAGAACAGAACCTGTCATCAAATCGCTTCCAAAAGATGTAATCAGTTTCATTACACTGTGTGTTACTTGTGAAATGGGGGACAGGAGAACATAATGAGTTTGATTTGTGTATAAATATTTCAATAATATACATACTAAATAAGTATTTTGAGTTGAGAATTTATTTCCTTGTTGTTCCCTGAATTTTTTATTTGGAACCATAAAAAGTTCAAGGAACTAGGGTTTTACTTAAAATTGTACATTTAAAAAAAATGACCAGCACTGGTATTGTAAACTCTGAAAAAAACTATTAATTATTGTAATATTGTGATGATTATTGATAGGATCCAGTTCTAAAGATGGCTGAGGACAACTACAGCCTACTTCTGAACTACCTCCAGAAGCAGACATTCCCGGTGAAAACCCTTCAGTCCCAGGTAGATGCAGTAACTAGCATTGCTAGACAGTACATGATCCAGAAAGGGGTGCTGTATTTTAAAAAAGGGAAAGGAGGCGAGTTGAGGTGTCTTGAAGTGGGTACTAAGGACAGGAAAGTGGCAATGCAGGCTGCCCATGTTAACAATGGTAAGGAAAAACTGACAGATCCCTCAAAGTAAAGTATCAGTGAATCATTGCTGCAATTTGTGTATTAAAGAATTGACTCTGTGAAAGTACAGTTATTTGCTACAGGTATGAGTCAATTCAATTGCTATTTTCCTGTTTATTACCTGAGTCTCTTTTGAATAAAAATGTTCAATATTACTTTCTTGAACCCCATGAGGAAAAAAAATTAAATATCTGGCCATTGATTAAAAATAATTGTCTATCTTTATTCTATGGATTTTGACCCTTTCCTATACTATAGGGCTTTTATTTTACATAGTTAATGTGCTCACTACAGTAAAGCATGGTTAAAGCAAACGTGCCTATTATGAATTCACACTTTTAAGCGAAATGATTTTCATTCCCTGTTGTTTTTAGCTCACCTGAGCCAAAGGCTCAAGTGAGCTTTTCTGATCAAAATTTGTCCGTTGTCTGTCGTCGGCGTTGGCGTCGTCGGCGTCGTTGTTGTCGTAAACTTTTTACATTTTCATCTTCTTCTCCAGAACTACTGGGCCAATTTCAATCAAACTTGGCACAAAGTATCCTTGGGTAAAGGGGATTCAAGTTTGTTCAAATGAAGGGCCACTCCCTCCTCAAAGGGGAGATAATTACGAAATAGCAAAAAATTAATGGCATTATTGAAAAATCTTCTTCTCAAGAACCAATGGGCCAGGAAAGATGAAACTCATGTGGAATTATTGTCAGGTAGTGTAGATTCAAGTTTGTTCAAATCATGACCCCCGGGGGTAGGGTGGGGCCACAATGGACGATCAAAGTTTTACATAGGAATATATAGGAAAAATCTTCAAAAATCTTCTTCTCAAGAACAGCAAAGCTATGATTGGTCATATTTATATGGAAGCATCCTCATGTGGTGTAGATTCAAGTTTGTTCAAATCATGACCCCCGGGGGTAGGGTGGGGCCACAATGGACGATCAAAGTTTTACATTGGAATATATAGGAAAAAATCTTCAAAAATCTTCTTCTCAAGAACAGCAAAGCTATGATTGGTCATATTTATATGGAAGCATCCTCAGGTGGTGTAGATTCAAGTTTGTTCAAATCATAACCCCCGGGGGTAGGGTGGGGCCTCAATGGACGATCAAAGTTTTACATAGGAATATATAGGAAAAATCTTCTTCTCAAGAATAGCAAAACTATGTTTGGTCATATTTATATGGAAGCATCCTCAGGTGGTGTAGATTCAAATTTTTTCAAATCATGACCCCCGGGGGTAGGGTGGGGTCTCAATGGACGATCAAAGTTTTACATAGGAATACATGTATATAGGAAAAATCTTCAAAAATCTTCTTCTCAAGAATAGCAAAGCAATGATTGGTAATATTTATTTGGAAGCATCCTCAGGTGGTGTGGATTCAAGTTTGTTCAAATCATGAACATCGGGGAGTAGGTTGGGGCCACAATGGATGACAATTAAAGTTTAACATAGGAGAATATAGGAAAAATCTTCAAAAATCTTCTTCTCAAGAACAGCAAAGCCATGATTGGTCAAATTTATATGGAAGCATCTGCAGGTGGTGTAGATTCAAATTTGTTCCAATTGTGACCCCTGGGGGTAGGGTGGGACCACAATGGACAATCAGAGTTTTCATGGAGTATATAGGAAAAATCTTCAAAAATCTTCTTCTCAAGAACAGCAAAGCTATGATTTGTCATATTTATTTGGAAGCATCCTGGGGTGGTATTGATTCAAGTTTATTCAAGTCATGACCCCCAGGGGTAGGGTGGGGCCACAATGGACGATCAAAGTTTTACATAGGAATATATAGGAAAAATCTTCTTCTCAAGAACAGCAAAGCAATGATTGGTCATATTTATATTGAAAGCATCCTCAGGTGGTGTAGATTCAAGTTTGTTCAAATCATGACCCCAAGGGTAAGGGTGTTGCCACAATGGACGATCAAAGTTTAGCATAGGTGTACATAGGAAAAATCTTCAAAAATCTTCTTCTCAAGAACAGCAAAGCTTTGATTGGATATATTTTTTTGAAAGCATCCTCAGGTAGTGTAGATTCAAGTTTGTTCAAATCATGACCCCTGGCGGTAGGGTGGGGCCACAATGAACGTTCAAAGTTTTACATAGGAATATATAAGAAAAACCTTTAAAAATCTCAAGAACAGCAAAGCCACGGTTTGTAATATTTATATGGAAGCATCCTCAGATAGTGTAGATTCAAATTTGTTCAAATCATGACCTCCAGGGGTAGGGTGGGGCCACAATGAAAGTTCAAACTTGTAGAGAAAAAAAGTCACAGTTAGTCAAAAAATTATGTAAGCAGTGTAGATTTAATTTTGGTTGATTTAATTAAGTCATACCCCCCCCCCCCCCACTCCCTTTTAGGGGTAGGTTGGGACCATTTATGCATTTAAGCTTTTCAATACTAAACTGATTTTTCCTTTTTTCCTAACCACAGTGCTCAGGTGAGCGATGTGGCCCCTGGGCCTCTTGTTAAACATTTTATTAATAAAATACATTTATAAAATATTGAAATTGGTCGTCCCTGGCACTTCACTATAAGCATGTTTTACTGTAAAACACATTGTCAAATTAATGTGGTTGACATTGTTGAAGGTGAGCACCTTGGACCTGCAGAAACATTGCGGAGGTTGTCTGAGAAGTTCATATGGAATAAGATGGCAGACAGTGTGGAAGCATTTGTTATGGGTTGTTGTAAGAAGAAAACAGATGAGGAACCTGCCACTCCAAAATCAGTTTTAAACAGAAATGTAGATTTCTTCAGTAAACAGTTTAAGAATGGGGTATGATATTAAAGCTATATTGCAACAACTGTTTCTGTATATCCTTTCAAAGATTAATTCATGGTAAACACTACAATTCAATTAAAGGAGTTTAATTGTTAATCTTTAAAAATACATTTTTAATTCAGACTACTTGCATCTTCAACAATATTAAAATTTGGAGCAGACTTCTTTACTTTCATAATGCAGTTTGATGGTTATTTTCTGTTCTTGCATACTAATGATTTTAATTTTGGTCAGAACATAAATGGTAGAAAGTTTGTATGGTAATGGTTATAGGAATCACCTACAAACTAACTTCCTTTTCACAGGTTGTGGACAAGTTGCTTGCTGGGAAAGAAACATTTCCGGAGCCTGTGGTACGTTCAATTTCAGAACTGATTAAAAAGGAGCAAGAAACTTCTGAAAGAGAACGCTGTAATGAAGAGTCAGGAAAAGAAGGCAGTGATGAGTGTGACAAAGAACAGACTGAAATACAGAATGATGAAAGTCCAGAAAACTCCCAGAATGCAACAGAAGGAACTCCTGTGAAAGTTACTAGAACAGAAGAGGGTGAAATCATAGGTGAAGTAAGTGATGAGATGATAGAAGCTGCGGTTAGAACTATTCTGTCCCAAGAGGAATTTGAGGAAAAGGATGCCAGCAAAGTGGACAAGTCATCCACTTCAGCCAAACCTTCTAAGACAGAAGGAGAGGGTAAGAGTTACATTAAATCTACAGGATTTTGTTTTCTAATGTTTTTGGTTTGTGATAATGGATGAAGAAAAATTACATTTATAAATATGAGACAAAGGCAACTCTTCTCAGTTCATTTATTTTACATGTACTTTTGTGAATGCTTAATTATGGATGTATTATTTGTGTTTCAGTGGAGGTCAAAAAAGAAGTGCATAAATCCCTAAAACTAAAATGTGAAGTTTGTGGAATGTTATTCAAAGGACAAAATAAATACAAAGGTAAGTATGAAATGCATTCCTTCAGGTGAGACCATATAAACTGAGGTCCTGTGTTGTAATAGTTGCTGGTAGATTTGCAGTATATAACTGACAACTGGGGTATACTAATATGAGTGAAAAATTCTCAGAGGAACATAAAGCAAAAGAAAAAAATACATACATATGAAATGTATCCTGTGTTCATAAAAAAAAAATAGATTCAACTTTTCATAGTTTCAAGTGATATTTAAATGATAAATGAAAAAAAGCATATTCAAATGAAAATTCCTTTTGTTTCAGCTCATATGTATGGGCATACGGGCATAAAACCTTACCCTTGTACCCTGTGTGATAAATCCTTCACGTTGAAGAAAACACTGAAATTCCATCTTGGTAAACATGCTGGTCAGAGACCATTCCTGTAAGTAGACTGACCAATCATTTGCCTCAGGCTGACTTAAATGTAATAAACTTACATGTAATAATTTAGTCAGAAGAAAGTAATTTCCAAAATCCTAAGCAACAAAAGTTCAATGTGAATTTTCTGTGCATTTTTATTGTTTTGATTCCCAAAAGATTTCTAACATTAGTGAATTCCTTTGAGGATAATGCAAAGTACAAAACAATGTTTTTTAACACATAAAACTGCATTCCAAAGAAAAAATGTTTGATTTATAGGTAAAAAATCCGGAATTTTGCAATACAGAATATATGGTATGGATGTATCATAGCACTTTGAGTTATGGTAACAAGTCATAAACTATATTTCTGATATATTATTTACATGTAGGTGCAACATCTGTGGGAAGAGATTCCATGTCCCCAATAGCCTACGTTCACATCTGCAGATCCATGCCAAGGGAGGTAACAACATCCACTACTGTAAGCTCTGTAATCGAGAGTTCGCCACTGATGTTCGTTATGAAAAACATCTTAAGTTCAAACACCCACCAGAAGAGGAGGAACATCTTTGCTCTCAGTGTGGCAAGAAGTTCTGCAGTAGAAGTAAGAATTTGTTAAATAAACAATTGGTTTGCCAAATCAGATAAATCATATTAAAAGAGTTAAACTTTGTACTAGCTTTGTATATTAAAATTGTTACAACTTCACATGCAAAATGATCCTGAAACACAATGCTGGAACTTTCCAGAATTTATACACTAAAATGAGAAATGTTCCTTGTTTGCTTTGCAGAAGAAGAAGAAGTCTAAATGATCAATAATGGTGTTTATATTTTTTCACAGAGAGTTTGAAACGTCACGAAAGATCAGCCCATGATGCTGTGAAAAACCACTTCTGCAGTATTTGTGACAGAGGATTCTTTAGGAAGGAATATTTAAATCGCCACATGCAACAGCATGAAACGAATGCAAACGGTGAGGCGAAAAAAGTGAAGCCTTTAGTTATAAGAAAGCCAAAGGCCTTACAGGCTAACAACAAACCAAAACAAGCAGCCAAGATAGTGAAAACAGATCCAGAAAACATCATCATTGAGACAGTTGAAGACGGGGAAAGCAGTGGTCTAACCAATGTGGTTGGAAACATCCGTATTGAAGTGGAGCCTGGTCAGATAGAGGAATATTACATTCAGGAGTCGGAGGATCCTACGACAAGCACATATTACGCGGTGACAGAAACAGCAGATGGTGATGAGGAGGGTGGCGGCAGTACACTTGTGTATAGCTTCCCGTCTGTCCAGTACGAGATTGAGTGTCCTGATGGACAGTTGAATTCTGAGGCATTGTCAGCCATTACCATGTTAGCTCAGGCTTCCTCTCAGCAGAACATTTAAGGTTCAGAACTATAATTTATAGACATGTATTTATGGAATGAAATCATCTGCAAAAGATCACTCAGACTTAAAGGGAGTATTTTCACATTTTAAAGAAAAACATCAAAATTTTAAAAAGGTTACAATACCGTTGTTCTGTGATGAAGGATTGATTAAAAAGAAATGATACCTTCAATTTTTAAGTTGTATGTTAATTCTTGGACCTTGATATTTAGATATTTTATACGGTATTATGTTGTATATGCAAGTACATGTACATTGTAGTGTGAGAAGTCAAAAAAGTTTTGAAACATTCTTTCAGTCTTCATGACTGCAGAAAAAGGATTTAAAGTGTTGTGACACAAAGTCAGATCTTATGTAATTTATGGGTTATAATGTATATGTATATGAAATCATTTAATCAGCTTCACTTAAGATTTCTATATGATTATCATTTTTAGCTCACCTCAACGAAGTTGGGGGAGCTTATGTAATACCCTTGGCGTCGGCGTCCCAGGTTAAGGTTTTTGGAGCAGTTTTCTTTTCAAGTACTTCTATGACCTATATTAGTCAGAGATGCATGGAGGATGCTTCTAGTGTGTTTCATTTTACCAATCAAGGTTTCAGATGCTGCAATTTCAGCTAAAGAATGACCAGGTTAAAGTTTTTGGAGCAGGTTAAAGTTTTTGGAGCAGGTCTCATTTCCAAGTAACTATAAGCCCTATATTGACCAAACTTGCATGGATGATACATCTAAGGATGCACACTACTGAACTTGCTTCGGATGCTGGATCTGACCTACATTTTCCGGATGAGTGACCAAGTTAAGGTTTTTGGAGCAGATCTCATTTCCAAGTAACTATAAGCCCTGTATTGACCAAACTTGCATGGATGATACATCTAAGGATGCACACTACTGAACTTGCTTCGGATGCTGGATCTGACCTACATTTTCCGGATGAGTGACCAGGTTAAGGTTTTTGGAGCAGATCTCATTTCCAAGTAACTATAAACCCTATATTGACCAAACTTGCATGGATGATACATCTAAGGATGCACACTACTGGACTTGCTTTGGATGCTGGATCTGACCTATATTTTCCTGATGAGTGACCAGGTTAAGGTTTTTGGAGCAGATCTCATTTCCAAGTATCTATAAACCCTATATTGACCAATCTTGCATGGATGATACATCTAAGGATGCACACTACTGAACTTGCTTCGGATGCTGGATCTGACCTATATTTTCTGGAAGAGTGACCAGGTTAAAGTTTTTGGAGCAGATCTCATTTCCAAGTAACAATAAGCCCTATATTGACCAAACTTGCATGGATGATACATCTAAGGATGCACACTACTGGACTTGCTTCGGATGCTGGATCTGACCTATATTTTCCGGATGAGTGACCAGGTCAAAGTTTTTGGAGCAGATGTCATTTCCAAGTAACTATAAACCCTATATTGACCAAACTTGCATGGATGATACATCTAAGGATTCACACTACTGGACTTGCTTTGGATGCTGGATCTGACCTATATTTTCCGGATGAGTGACCAGGTCAAAGTTTTTGGAGCAGATGTCATTTCCAAGTAACTATAAACCCTATATTGACCAAACTTGCATGGATGATACATCTAAGGATTCACACTACTGGACTTGCTTCGGATGCTGGATCTGACCTATATTTTCCGGATGAGTGACCAGGTCAAAGTTTTTAGAGCAGATGTCATTTCCAAGTAACTATAAACCCTATATTGACCAAACTTGCATGGATGATACATCTAAGGATTCACACTACTGGACTTGCTTTGGATGCTGGATCTGACCTATATTTTCCGGATGAGTGACCAGGTTAAGGTTTTTGGAGCAGATGTCATTTCCAAGTAACTATAAACCCTATATTGACCAAACTTGCATGGATGATACATCTAAGGATGCACACTACTGAACTTGCTTCGGATGCTGGATCTGACCTACATTTTCCGGATGAATAACCAGATTAAAATTTTTGGAGCAGATCTCATTTCCAAGTAACTATAAGGCCTATCTGATCAAAACTTGCATGGATGATGCATCAAGGGACGAACAATCTCAAAACTTGCTTCAGATGCTGGATTTGACTTACATTTTCTGGATGAGTGACTAGTTTTAAGTTTTCAGATAAGTATATTACCAAGTAACTGCAAGCCCTATCAGACCAAAATTGCATAAATGTTGCATCTAGGGATGCACACTTCTAGATTATTAGTTTAGTGTGGGACTTTGCCTTACTTAAAGGCAACATTCGTTGAGGTGAGCTCTGTAATCTCTGATTACCTATGTTTTTAAAATATGGTCATAATTCTGAGTCAAAATTTTATTTGATCCACAAAATCTAAATTAATATTTCAGACAGGTTATGGCTATGCTTCATTGTTAACCTTCCATGCTTTGTTCTTCATTTTACATTCAGGATGTACATTTTGCTGTATACAAATAAATTGTTACAAGGTTTGATTTATTTCCTTGCTTCTTCAAAAACTGAAAAGAGTTAAAAAAAAATTGGCATCAGGTGTTCAAGAGTTTTCTGTTGATATTACAAAAATATTGAATGGTATTAAAGGTATCACTCGAAATTGTTAATTCAGAAAGCATTTTTGACCGATAGGAAGTCTGTTATTGTTATATAAACAAAATTTTTGAGAGAGTTGCATAAAGAATACAATGTACTGAGTTCCCTACCAGTGTGTTTAGTCAAATCCCCTTTACAACTGGACTTTTGTGAGAAGCGTGGACTTTTACAGTCGATGGCTTACTTTTTACACTAGGACAATTTATGGAATACATTGTCTAGGAAGGGAACTGCAACCACCCTATCCTCAATCTCTCCCTTTCCACCTTGACCAACTCCTGTCAAGTTTTCTTTTCGAAAATTTTTTTCTTCCTTACTTAATTTCTTCAGCAAATGAGATTGAAAGGAGATAATACTCCTCACGAACATCATATTTTAAGTTATGGTATTCTGCCTCCCATCATCTCTTGTGTTGATTGCATACAGGTAATCATCTTGCAAAAGTCCACTAGAGGTACTGTGGGCGAGGTCATAATACTCCCACTGCATTTTTTTTTTTAAAATGCACATTCAAATTATGTAATTGTGATGTTGAACTTGCCAAAAAGACCTTGGTTAAAAAAAAAAGAGGCTTCCTCTGGTCATTAGAAATCTTTTAGTGAAATATGGACATGCAATGTTTCTCCTTTATGAATTTCACACTTTTTATAGGAGTGACCTTGAACTTGCTGGAATGACCTTGGTTCAAGGTAATGTCACATCCTCAGGTCATAAACAATCTCTGTACTAGGTATTAGCTTCCAATGATTCTCTATTAAAAGGCTAAAACCTGGAAAAGAATTTTATACTTTTCTGCCAGTGTCCTTGATCTTGCCGGACTGACCTTTGGTCAAGGTTTTGACAAGCCCAAAGGACATTAGCAATCTTTGTACCAAGTGTGAGCTTCCAGTGATTCTCCATTACAAAGTTATAGCCCAGACAAGAATTTTATACTTTTCTGCCAGTGACCTTGAACTTGCCAGAATGACCTTGGGTTAAGATCATGATCATGACACACTGCTGGGTCATAAGCAATACCTGTTCAAAGTATGAGCTTACAGTGATTCTCCATTGCAAAGTTGTAGCCGGACAAAAATGTTATAATTTTCTGCCAGTGACCTTGAACTTTTCAGAAAGACCTTGGGTCAAGGTCATAACATACTGTCAGATCACAAGCAATTTCTGTACCAAGTATAAGCTTCCAATGTTTTTCCATAACAAAGTTATAGCCCGGACAAGATTGCATGGACAGACAGACAAAGTGATTCCTATGTAAAGGCTTGGGTCGTGGATATCGGCCTGGGTAGCTCAGACGGTACAGCATCTGACTAGTGATGCAAGGGTCCCAGGTTCGATTCCCGGTCCAGCCATATATTTTCTCCTTTCCCGTTACAGATTTGGTGCCATTGACCACCCCTGGACTTGCAGGTGAAAGTCCTGCCACGGGCAATAAGAACTTGGCTTGTGTCTTCAAGGGCAAAGACAATTTAAGGAGGGAGGAATGTAATGGTTTGGGTCATGGATAATGGCCTGGGTAGCTCAGTCGGTAGAGCACCTGACTAGTGATGCAGGGGTCCCGGGCTCGATTCCCGGTCCATCCATACATTTTCTCCTTTCCTGTTACACCTATATACCCCCAAACTTCGTTGGTGGGGGGGGGGGGGGTTATAATGAAAGCAGAAAAATTTCATATGTGTACATCCTTAGTAGGAGATGAGTCCAAGAGAGGGAATTCCATCAAAAATCATCTTACTTCTTAGTGGAACAAACTTTCATTTGTAATCATAAAGGTAGACTTAACATACTACAAATCAGCTCACTGTCGTTCTGCGTCTATTATGAAATTTAAGACTAGAAATATGTCCATAAGGACATGAATGCTTTGCCCAAGGTACATTTGTATGCAACAGAAAAATGAATGTACCTTCTTCAGTTGGAGCTAATAAATAATGTCTTGTAGCATGGTATACATGTATGTGTGCAGTTAACTCATCCTATCTATCTAAACAAATTCAATGTACTTGATTCTAAACCTACATGTTAAGATGCTTGGATTTAAACCAGCCAAGTTGAACAGGCTCTGCTTAATGAAAATTTATTGTTTCAAATTCATCTCATATTTAGTAAATTATGCATGATATCTTAAGTAGGTATGGCTGAGATTGATCTGTGTAAGGAGTTGTATATAGTAATCCTTCATGGAATAATGACAGAATGAGAAATTATATTGAGAAACTTATATGCCCCAATGTGGCAATTGTAATAAGGGGACAACTTGAAATTTAAACTGTGTATAAAAATAGTGAAAACAATCGGTCATATACTAGTCAGGGGCAAACATTTTACCAAGTTCGATATCTATAAGACCTCTATATCATTAGGGATAATGTAATACTTCTTACAGGGTACCAGTGTACCAAAATTGATGTCTATAAAAGAAAATGGTTCTCATGAAACAGCTGACAGTATCTTCCTTTAGAAGCCTAGTGTCTATGTTGCTTGCCCCTTTACATTTGAGCTTGTGACCTAAATCAATGGGTCAATTTCTCCTTAGCAGGAACCAGTGTACGAAGTTGGATGTCTGGCAAGCAAAGGGTTCTCAAGATATTGAGTGGCCAATATCTTCCCATATCCAGTTTGACCTTTGATTTTGTGACCTCAAAATCAATACCTCATCTACTTCTTAAGGGAAAGCAATGTACCAAGTTAGATGTCTGCCAAGAAATCTACTGAAAGGGAACCAGTGTACTAAGTTTGTTGTCTATTAAGCAGAGGGTTCTCAAGAAATTGAGTTATGTCCAGTTTGACCCTTCACCTAATGACCTCAAAATCTACAGTGGGCATCTAGTCCTCAAGGAGAACAAGTTACCAAGTTTGATGTTTGTCTAGCAAAGGGTTCTATAGATAATGAGTGGTCAATTTCTTTCTATGTCCAGTTTGACACTTGACCTTGTGACCTCAATATCAATAGGGGTTATCTGCTCCTTAAGGAAAGCCAATGTACCAAGTTTGATGTCTGTCAAGCAAATGGTTCTCAAAATATTGGACAAGGTCTTCCTATGTATTGAGTAGTTTGAACCTTAACCTTGTGACCTAAAAATCAAAAGAAGTCATCCATTCTTCAGGGGGTACCAGTGTATCAAGTTTGATGTTTGTCAAGAAAAGGATTCTCAAGATATTGAGCAGACAACACTTTCACTACTGACGGAAAGGTGCCAAGCAATGTCCCCTTTTTCAAAGGGGGCATAAAAAGGTCTTAGATGTCAAGGTCAGAAAATAATGACACAGTTGAACTGTATTACTGTATGAACTCTCATACATATATCTTGTTTTGTATCTTTGAACTGAGCTTAATGCAAAGTGTGATGGACAGACAAAGGGATGGAAGATGAACATAACAAACAATATACATGTATACTCTTGCTGGTGTTGCATAACAAGTGGGACAGTAATTAACAGAAAGATGAAAAGAAAACCTAGTTCCCTTCAGGGTCACACTTAGGGAATGAATAACTTTTGATCCAGTAATCCTAAAACCTATGAGATGTCTTCTCTAACTATTGTCCATCTGTGCAGTATGTAGATACCACTTGATCATGGTGACGTAAAAAATATTCACCTAATATTGGTCAAATGGATTCAACGTTGGGCCCCAAAAGATAAAACTGGGAGCATATTCATTTGGTGCAAGATTTCATCTTTTTTGTAGACAGGATTCAAAGAAACCTATGCATCTATATTAAAAGACTTGTATACAAAATACACCTATTTGCTTCATTCAAATAAAAATACCATTGGTTTGAATAAAAATCTAAGTTTAATATTGAAGCATTCTGTAATATATCAAGTTTTTAATGTACAAAAATAAAAATGATATATACATGTATGTATTCTTTTAAGTAAAGAAAGCTAGTTCTTTGAACTTGGAAGATAAACAACTCTTCATATATCTATGACCAATGTCCTTCCTCAGCAAACACTCGGACTGAAATCATTACTTGGATAAGTTCATCTCTCTGGATTGTCTTCCATTGTCAGATTATTCAGTGTGGCTCCTGTAGCCCCTCCTTTCGTGCAGTTTCCTAGCAATGTCTTTGAATCGTTTTCTGTTAGTGTACCGCATTTCAGAGCATTACCATTCATCTCATGCTTGATTATTTTCTGATTGTCATCTGGTTTGCCAATGTCATCTGGTTTGCCAATGTCCCTCCTTTCATTCTCTTTGTTTGCAATAGGATTCTTGTCGTTAGCAATGGGATTCTTGTCAGATGTGCTATCCTCCACATTTTCATTGTCATCAATGACATCTGAAGCATTTTTGTCCTCTACACCTTCGACATTTGATTGTTTCTTAGGACTGCCATTTATGTTATCAGTAGATTTCTTCTCTTCCTCTTCTTCACAGCTGCCATTGGTTGTCTTAACTACAGCTGTTGTGTCTTGTTCATCTGTGGAACTACATGCTGTTTCTTTCAGAGAATCAGGAATTTTGTCCAATTCCTTGCTCTCTGTATGGTCTCTGGTTCCATTTCCTTCTATTTGATTTTCATCAGACTCTGTTGATTTTTCTTCATCTGTTGAATCACCACCCAGTTTTGACTGCAAGGGAAATCAACTATCACACTTTAACAACTTTATTCTTGCAAACACATGGATGTGCTTTAAAAATTATCAAAAAATACAGAAAGTATTAAATATATCCAACTCCTATATCAGTACAGTATTGTAGATTCCTTACTTAATATTTTTATTTAGTATCGCAAAATGTTGAATATATCAAACTCTTAAATCAGTACAGTACTGTAGATTCCTTACTTATTATTTACTTAATATTGCAAAATGCCTTCAAATCACGAGTGGGCGGTCGATCATGAGATTTTATATGTTCAGCACCATAAAAATAAAAGCAAGTAATTTTATTTTGCGAGTGGAGCTTCTCACGAAATTACGTGATAATTATTTAGGAATCTACAGTATAGCCAGGCATCTTTTTTTTTAAATCTATTCTCAGAATGCATATTAATTAAAATTGCTACATGCTCATGTTTGAAAACAAATTATTTTTAACAGTAGTTTGGGGAGAGGGTCTTTCTTTACTATTCTATTGCAGCAATTTATGCACCACAGGCCGTGGAATAAAAGAACAGACTTTAAAAAGGTACAAGTACCGTGTATCCTACTCCAAATTCAAGGTTATAAATTTCACAATTTTTGCACAGGTCTCATTGCTAATTACAGTTATACATAGATCTTACAAGTAACAAGATATTTATAACCCTTGACTATTAGATGCCAAAAACATTTCTGAAATTGTTTCTGTAATTTCTAGTAAGCTGTTATTAACCAGTTTATGGACAACTTGTAATACTAACAAGTGAATGAAAACAGCAATACATCACTTGAGCGACTCAGGTGACCATATAAGTAACACAGAATATACAGAAAAGAATTTCAGTTTTACCTCACTAACTGTCCATGGTGGGGGTGCCTGGTTTGGACAACGCTTTAATGCAAATTTCCACACTCCAAATCCTGACAAGCCAGTGGTGAACCAGCATTTTTCAACAGAATAGAGTCCTAAACACAGAGAAACAAGGAAATTACTTCCATGTAATTCCAAGTACATGTACATGTACCTGAGATATTCTGTGTAAAGGTTAAAATAAAATAAATTCATGAAGAAAAAGGCAGTGCCTTAATATTTATATCTCTTTTTCATTCCCATGTACCAATGTAATGTTAAGACATTTTTTTCTGCCTACCATCATATCTGTACCCCTCTTCTGGAGCAAAGGGACTGGTCAGTTTATATCCCCGAATCACTCTCACTGGTTGCTTGGTTTCCACATTTCTGCTGAGAGCCAAATTTCCCCTGGTCAAGGTTTGGTCTTTTGATTGTGGAGCTGTTCTTAAATTCTACAAAGAAACAAAACCTCAAAATAAAAAAAAAATAAAAAAAAATCCTGCTAAAATACATCATCATAAGAACACCTAATTTCTATTTCAAAAAAAAAATTATATATTTGGAATTTATCTAAATGATCTGCTTTCCATCAAATTTCATAACTGACACAAAGTTCTAGCAAAATTTGGAAATAAGAGCAGTTCTACATTTGATTTACTTGTGTGATAATTTCCTGTAGAAAACAGCACAATATTACCTTTGGATTGGCCTTTGTTCCTTTCAGATCTCTTCCCCCTGCAATATTAGGAGCTTGATTAAAATCAGTAAAGAGAAATATGCAAATTTTTCCTTCCAAATCTGCTACAAGATCATTATTTTATAGTTTAACCAAAACAAGACCTTCTCCAGTGTAAGTAAATCCTTCTCCAAGGTCAATATTGTCATCATAACCACCAGACAGGGCAATGGAGTAGGCTCCTTCTGGTCCTCCATGGATTCCAGCAACTGTAGGTCTGTAAAGAATAAAATAAATTAGTTGTTGACAAGATGTGCATGTAAAACACACTATAATCAAAACAGTGACAAAGCCCTTTTCTGATATTTTGCCAGACACATGAACAAAGATGGTCCCACCATGACGGAGGCATATTAATCAAGCTATGTACACACATATATATACATGTACCTGTGAATGCCATCTTTAGAACAATCAATACGCATCATCCATGTGGTTCCAACATCTACACCTGTAAGAAAAAAAAAATCAATCATGTCAGCAAAGTGCCAAGTAATATAAATGTACATATCTGCACATATATAGACAGAAGTTCTTACCCTCAATAGCTCCATAGGAGTGTGGTCTAAAAACCTTGGGTGATGGTTTAACTTCATCTTCATCACTGCTAGACTGTTCATCTTCCAAAGCAATGGCATCTGCCTCCTAAAAGTACAATGTATTAAGACATCAAATATCTCTGTTTTTATTGCATTTTATGGCATCCAACTTGACCATAAGTAAATTTTCTGCTTCACCAGCCTTTACTTTCATCTATGAGTATATAAGTATAAATATTATAAAGCATATTGCTTTTCTTCCAACCTCAAGTCAAAATCTTCTTCTCTGGGAAAACTTCAAACAATAAATGTTTAGTACCTCACAAGTTATTACTGTACCTTGCCCTGAATCCGTGCAGACCTTCGTCTTCTTTTACGTATTGATCCAAGTTCTTCATCACTAATCTCTAATTTTCTTTTCTGTTTTGGCTTAAATTGCTTTTCAACTGTTGTTTTTCCTGGCAACTTATTTTTTTGTAATGTAACTTTTGATGACTTGGGAAGCTACAGAGCAAATGCATTAGCAATTAATTGTTTGGATTGTGTAAAACATCTAAAAACATTGAATACTGTGACAATAAAATAAATTCAAAAAATTTACTGGTATGAATACTATATTTTAGTTTACTACTATAGACTTTTAATAATTTTCTTTGAAGTTGTTTCTTTACATTTTTTCAGTTATCATTTTTTTGACAGATTTCAAAATAATAGATCAATTCTATCTGGGTATTTTGTATCTTTTATGAACATCTTTTATCTATTAAAATACTAATCAGATGAATCAGTACTACAGCTTTGAACAGCACATTTTTCCTCATATAAAAGCCTCTTGGAGGGGAAAATTTTCCCTTTAAGTTCTATTTGCAGTTGCATGAAAATTTTGTACATTTACAACATTTTCAATTTGCCAGCTTCACTTCCATGCAGATATGGATCTTTGCTATTCCTTTTTACAGCCTTATAAAAGCCCCCCCCCCCCCCAAGAAATATGATAAAATGTTCTCTAGTGGTTACAAACAGTGCTAGACACAAACAGAATTTATAATTACATTAGTCTATTATTTTGTTTAAAAAATTGAGTAATTCCATAAGAGTGATTAGTTGTAAAGACATGATTTATCATGAAACACCTCCACCCCACCCCCCTTTCTAAAAAAAAAGACATGGTTTCTTACAAAATTAGAAAGTCCAAGCTCTGCTAAAATACGTTTGTTATCTTCTATGTTTTTATTCCGGAGTTTTTCGTATGCACTCATTGTGATCTTTGCGTTTTCAATCCCTCTTGTCACCTAGCACGCCACATCAATTTCCCGCCATAAATGTCCAAAATAAAATTGCGATCCCGACAATTTTTTTTTTTGTTAGGAGATTGTATGAAGTTAACATGAAAATATATTTTATGAAACTATTATATATTAATTAATCAATAAGCTTTGTTTAATAACTACAATCATTCAAGCTATTTTCGCGTAATGAACTAAAAAAAGTCTAACGAATCATTGAACGATGCAGTTATCTAGAATAGTTGCTGACATCTTTTAAACGCTTTACAAAGGGAAAGAATTGTATTATCTTGCTTTGCACAAAGAAGACCACGATTGCATTCCAAACAACCACCAAACAACAGAGGAACAGGGAACTGATGAGACAAAATTAGAAGAAGGCACTAGTTTTTGGGAATCAACATAAACATTCTTCAAAATGGTAAAAAAAACTTTCAATTTTTTTAATTCAGAGAATTAATTTATTCACTCGTTTACCTACTTTACTTTGGTTTCTGGTTTGAACATATTTTATATAAAAAAAAAAGTACTATGGTATTGGTAGTGATCGATCTATGTCTCTGTCATTGAACAATTCTAAAGAAGATCTATTAGAAAAATGGCCAAAAGCGCAATATTATCAACAAACTGTTTACTAAGGTAGCTGTGTGAAATGGAAAGGCATTATGACATAATGCAGTCCTAGACAGAAGCACTGCCAAATCCTAATTTTTGGCAGAGACATATAAACAGGTCCAGCACAATCTCTTGATTTAGCTATATAGCTTTATTAAGCTATTCAAAATAGTTTGATAAAGCTATTTATGTGCAGTTTTTCAGAAAAATGTTTTTTGTAAGAAATAGGCAAAAAGTCGCAAGTATTTGATTACTCATATATGTACCATGGACTATCAAAACAACAACCAAAATCAAAGATAATTCTAACATTGCAGCATTTGATTACTTTTAAGCAAAAGCTGAATTTCCATTGTTTGAGTAACTGTACACCACCTTGTGTGCGTTGAGGCATGGATAAGTATCATTGCTTCTCATTGTACTGAATTATCACCAATCAATTATCTTGTTGACCATAATTGGCCTCTTTTATAATTTCAATGAAGAAGTAACTGTATCAATTGCTTTATATAGCCCCAAAACGTTTAGAACTTTAAGTACAAAGTCTCTTAAGGAGACGTTATTTGATGAGTGATTTTTACATGCATTATTTTCAGAAGAAATCAAGGTTGAATATTATCACTGCGCCAAGGTGCGATTTTTTGTGCGTGCTGAGAAAATAACACATTTAAGAAAAAAGTGTGATAAAATAGCTAAACCATGCTATTCTGAATAGCTTAATAAAGCTCTATAGCTAAATCAAGCTATATAGCTAAATCAAGAGATTGTGCCGGACCTGATAAAATAAGAGATTTGCAACTATTTTAAATCTTGCTGCCCTATTATTTAGTTTTTTTCAAATCCTGCTCTTTAAATGACATAAAGCTTTAATATTAATTATCAAGGATAACGAAGTAAAACTTTTTTATTTATATCAACCAAATTTGGTCGGAAAATTCTGGTGGTGGTAATTTACCAGTGGTATTAAAATACTGGTATTTCCTGTCCTTGTAAATACTACAAATTTTCTCTAAACTGGAAAATAGTGGGAATACAAAGTTTCATTTATTTTTAATTTTTATTTATTTTCAATTAAATACATGATTCAGAAATAAAATATAGATAATAAACATAAAAACACAAGATGAATATGTTTCAAACTTCAATTCAACATGTTCAGAGTGTCAGCACTATGGATCACCACTAAAGGTTTTCTTTAACCCTCTAATTAGCAATCTGTAAGTTTCCCTGCCAATTTGATAAGCAAATGTGAAATTTTCTTATTAGCGTTTCTTTTAACCTTTGTAAAATTGATTAGTCCATGAACCAAATAAACTTGGTTTAGTTCTTCTGTAAACATTGGAAGTATTACAATCAAACATGTTTTAACAAAATGAGTCTTGACAGTTGTGTGCTCCTGTTTTGAGAGATATTTACTTTGAGTAGGACTGAATGCACATCTGACTCAAGTATTGAAAAAAAAATGACACTGGTCTGTGAGTAAACTTTGTTGTGATTATTTGGAAGAAGATGCATCACTAGATAATCAGAAATTTTTAAACCAAAGACAATGATTATATATCCAAGCTAATAAGGAGTACTACATGATTGTATACCCCAACAGACATGATTAAAGTAGTGAAACATATAGCAGTGTTTTATTTCTCAGAAAATACCAGTAATTTCCCACCATCCTGGGAAATATGAGTATTTCCCGCTTTTTTGACAACCTTGATATAAAAAAATCAATAAGAATGCTGTATTATCACTAGTCTGTATGTTTAAAGCAATAACAAAGGAGGAATATGATAAAAGCAACAGGTGACCCAGGGTTGACCATATCTCCAAGATTTTGCCAACTTCCGATTATTAGAAAAAAAGCTCAAGTGCTAAGATTGACTTTCTTTTCCCTGTTTAATCTGAAAGCAGAAATGATATCACAACTTAATATATCTTGTGTTTCTTTTAGGATCTATGCTAGTTATTGTGCCAGTAACTGCAGTTCAAGTCAATGTGTTTATGTTATTTAATAGATGCTCTCAAGAGCAAAGCCGGCCATTGGGCCTGGCTCAACAACTCCAGCAAAAGAAAACAAGAAAAAGAAACAGATGCCTAAAGTTGAAGACTTTTTAGCTCTGAGAGACTACACAGGGGCAATCACACTATTAGAGGTATTAATAAGACTTTGTATAAAAATCTGTGCTCTATTAATTCAAGGTTTATTTAAGAATAAAAGTGAACATATTGTGTTATCGTAATACTTGCATTTCTAATTATTAGTGTATACAGGGAAATTTTAACCCCATTTTATTTTTGCTCTTTTCATCATCATCATCAATGTGCAAAATTAAGGGGGCAAAATCATTTGCAAGTGTGATAGAGCAAAAATAATATGGGGTAAAAACAGAATTGTATTCAATATTTTAGCTTTATCACTCTGTAATATCATATTATTTATCATATCTATACTAGTTCAATAGAAACAGTGGAAAGGGTAATGAAGAGACCGATATGTGGATTGCCTACTGTGCATTTCATCTAGGAGATTATAAGAGATCTATGGAGGTCGGTATATGAAGTTATTTATTTAATAAACCACTGATATTAAATCATATTCTTTAACATCTATATTTTTTATGAGTGATTGATGTGGCAATTTTGATGGATATTTATTGGGATCATATGTGATTCTTGGTTACGTAAAGATTATATTGGCAGGAGTTTGAGAGAATGACAAAACGTGATGGCTGTCATCCTGATGTTTGGACAAACTTAGCCTGTTGTTATTTCTTCCTTGGAATGTACCCAGAGGCAGACAATGCCTGTCAAAAAGGTGCAAAATTTAAACAATATGTACTTTTTTTCTTTTCTTAAATTAAGTTTCTTTTTTTTTTTTTTTTAGAGCAACATATTCAAACCTCACATTTTAACTTTGTTATTTTGTATTAGGGCCAAAAAGCAAATTACAGAACCGACTACTGTTCCATTTATCACACAAGTTTGGGGATGAGAAGAGGTTAATGGGTCACCATCAGAATCTTCAGGATGTGATAGAGGATCAACTCTCTCTGGCCTCCATACACTACCTACGGAGTCATTACCAGGAGGCTATAGACATCTACAAACGAATACTTTTAGACAACAGGTAGGAAATACTTTGAGCTATAATTTGGATAAACTTATTTGCATTTTAGTATGTATCTGTTAGTTATGATAAGGACTGTTATTTCATCAGTTGAAAATTGAAACATGCTAACTTTCTTTTTCAGGGACTTTTTGGCACTCAATGTTTATGTTGCTCTTTGCTATTACAAATTAGACTACTATGACGTATCACAGGCAAGTCAACTCTTTTATGCCTATATATTATCAAAAATACACAAACTTAATTGTTTCTTCAAGAAGTGCAATGCCATTTTGTCTTAATTTAAGTTAAAGTTTTGGTATGTAGACATGCAAGATGAGTCCACGTGTTTTATTAATCATTTGATTTACAGGATTACATACGAGGGTTGTTCGAAAAGTTCGTGGACTGATGCGATAAAATTAATACTATGTAGTCTATGCTTACAAAATTTTTAATGAACATAAAACATCAAAAATTAAAGAAATGCTGAAAATTTTAGCTTGATACCTTGAATATTTACAGAATTATCATAAAATAAAAAAGACATTATATGATCACCCGGCCCTGTCACCATTTAGTTTTATGACGTCATTGTTTTTCAATGTCCGCATTATCTACCTCATACACTTATCTTGATGAGTTTCCTTGGAGTTAAGTAAAGATTTAAACCCGTCTTGTTTATATGATTTTTCAATGTCATAAACAGCTGATTTCAATGCATATAATATTGTAAATATATCTGAAAGATCCTCACTTGATTATAACAGCATATTTGCTTATCGGAGTTCAACATCTATCACACATGATCAACGTCACTTTTTGACGTGACAAACTTTGAACACCCTTACTACAAATCGACATTCACTTTTACATCTCTCCAATCTTTTTTGGCGTTTAACACAAGTACTCTGAATGCATTTTATTTTTCAGTAGCCCATTTAAATATTTCCTACATCTAGGTCTATGCATGCCAGTTTTTCCAGAGAGTGAAACTTTATAGAATGTTGGAAAAAGAAACTCCCCCCCCCCCCCCCCCCCCCCCGACGTCATTACAACCCCATAATTGTTTGGACATTTCATATGAATTTTACAATAAAATTTCATAGAACTTACAGAATGGGGTAAAAATTACAAATTTTATGGTGCAATTGTGTCATACCGATGAGTGAATTAACAGGATTTTTGAATGACGAATGCTCATATCAAGAAAAGAGTTTTTTCTAAGTTACACTTAGGTAGAAAAAACGTAATCTTCGAGGTTGCGCTGCATGGACATACCATTGCTTTCAAAAACATAAACAATTTATTAAAAAATAAAACTTATAATGTATAGTGCATTATATAAATAAAAAAGATGATGCTAATTAAATGTTAAAAAATTCATTGATGTATCTTAAGCAGTTTTAATTTTATGGCGCTAGTCCATGAACTTTCCGAACAACCCTCGTACATGTACTTTTTTTTTAAATTAATTTTTAACTTTTCAATAGATTTCATCAATAATTTTATGTTGTTAATGTTCAACAGTGACTACCCTCTAACTCTCATTTGTGTACCTGTTATTGTTTTGTTTAGGAAGTTCTAGCAGTCTATCTCCAGCAGTATCCAGACAGTGCTATTGCTCTCAATCTCAAAGCCTGCAATCATTTCAGACTCTACAACGGCAAGGCTGCAGAGGTCAGAATTTCCCATAATCTTTTGTTTGGACTTGACATGGTTTTTATTAAACGACTCTATTCTAGTCATTGATATATATATATATATATATATATATATATATATATATATATATATATATATATATATGTATATGTATGTATAAAATATCTATAAAAATCTTATGTTTCTTTTGGAATCTTTCCTAGTTATTGTGCCAGTAATCGTTGTTCAAGTCAATGTGTTTATGTTGTTCAATAGATGCAAACTATACAAAGTTGTCAATTTTAGGCAGAGCTAAAAAGTCTTCAAGAAATGTCATCACCTTCTTTTGTGTTTGCCAGAGATCTCATCAAACATAATTTAGTAAGTGGATTTTCATTTAATATTGAAAAAAACTATCTTTGAATTATTGTTGAAGTTTGTTCTTAAGACTGTTTACCACTCATCAGGTTACCCAGTATTAATTTGTTTAAATGTCCATTTGTCCACAATTTTATGTGTCATAACACTTGATTACCAGGTATTTCTCAATATAAAAACTTCATAGCATTTGCCATAGAGGTGGATCAAAAAATTAAGCTTGCAGTTTTTAGGGTTATTAGGTCAAGGTGTTGTGATTTAGTTACATACATATAATTTCATGCAAGAAGGGTATCATGATTTCATTTTTTCTGTGTAGGTGGTGTTTAGAGGGGGTGAAGGAGCTCTACAGGTATTACCTCCACTTATTGATGTCATACCAGAGGCCAGACTTAATCTTGTTATATACTACCTGAAACAGGGTAAGCAAAGATGTCAGTTAACATCCTTTTACTAGTAAATGTATCGAAAGTTGTTTGGCATGAAAACTCAAAATTGTCACACTATGGTGGAATACATTTTCTTCCGATCAGATGACATAGCTGAAGCCTACAATCTGATCAAAGACCTGGAGCCCACCACCCCACAGGAGTACATTCTGAAGGGCGTGGTCAACGCTGCCATGGGTCAGGAGCAAGGATCTGTAAGTATATAGTGGAGTTTGATAGATTATTTTAAAAATAGACTCATATTTTATTAGAAAGTACATTTTTTAGAATATAAATTCTTACTAAAACACCTTAAATCTTGCAAAGTATGGTATTTAGAATGTAGTTTAAGGTGGTAGGGAGCCATTTTGCATAGACTGCAGTCTAAATGTTAAAGCATGAAATCTGTAATGTACTAATTAGTGTTTGTGTTGTTGCAGAGAGAGCATCTCAAAATAGCTCAACAATATTTCCAGTTGGTTGGAGGATCAGCCAGTGAATGTGGTAAGGTATTTTACAGCAATAGAGATTATGGGAACATTTACTCTCCTACCAGTACAGAGTACTTTTGTTTGAATTCACATACTTTGACCATTTGGTTTGTCTCATTTTGGGTATAGTGATCCATTTAGTGTCCCTGATTTAGTGCAGCACATCAATAAAAGCAGTAAATCTTATTTCTTGAACAGATATTATCCTTGGTGATCAATGTATGTTTTTTGATTTGTTAACATTTCCTTCTTTGCATGTACAAAGTCACATTTGAATATTTGATTTAATTTAGAATGTTTTTACATTTTATATCAATGACCTGGCACAGTATCTTTATGAATACTTCATCAGTTTTTATATTTTTCAAAGTGTCATGTTTTCTCCTGAACAGATACTATTCCTGGTCGACAGTGCATGTCCTCATGTTTCTTTCTGTTAAAGCAGTTTGAAGATGTCCTAATCTATCTGAACTCAATTAAAGTGAGTAGCAGTCAAAATCTATGTTGTATGATTTTATGTACTAAATACAAAAGTGAATTATTGATATACAAATACTTATGTAGTTAAATAAAATTTCAAATTTGGACACAGCTGTTTAAGTGTATGATCTTTACATTTACAGAGTTACTTTTACAATGATGACAGCTTTAACTTTAACTATGCTCAAGCCAAGGCTGCTGTAGGGAATTTCAAAGAAGCAGAAGAGGTAAGAGCTCACTCTGTATTATCTGATTTATGCTGATTGGGGGGAGAGGAAAGAGCTCACTCTGTATTACCTGATTTATGCTGATTTGGGAGAGAGGTAAGAGCTCACTCCGTATTATCTGATTTTTGCTGTTTGGGGGAAACAATTAGTGACTTTGCAATTGATTCTTGTTTGGATTTACAGGGATAAAACTAATTCATTATCTAACATTTACTACTATTTATGGGTTTGTTTTGTTTTAGTTTTATGGTCTGCTCTAGCTACACATTATAGTTATTCTGTGGGATTTAATTACAGGTCTTCATGCTGATCCAGAGTGACAAGATTAAGAATGATTATACTTATCTAAGCTGGCTAGCCCGAGTCTGTAAGTACCTAGAAGAACATTGTACTGTATTTTTATATAACAAATGAATATTCATAAAAATGCTTTTATATACATGCATATTTGATTTTTTAAAATGTAATTTTGTAAAAATAAAAAAAAAAAAAACAACCAACCAAAAGCAGAATTTCTTTAGGGACATCAAACTTTTTTTATGGTATACAAGTAGATGTACAAATTTATTAATTAATTTAATAAAAATTTGTTTAAGACATAATGAACAGGAAGTCCCGTCTGGCTTGGGAGTTATACCTGAAAATGGAGACATCTGGCGAATCTTTCAGTCTGCTTCAGCTAATAGCAAATGACTGCTATAAGGTGATTAATCCAATAATCAATGTTCACATTCATTGTTACACAGATACAGGTTTTGTTTCCAAATACTTTCTTTTTTTACACTGTAACCACTTTTACTCACAAACACTTACTAGCTTACCTACAGATTCATTCTCTAGATAATGATAACAAAAAAAATGGGTGAAAAAAAAAATCCATAGTACATGTATATAATCACAACTTTACATAGTTGTTTGTGGTTTATTTTTTTCCAAATACTTACGTTTTTAAACTTTATTGATAATAGGTATACCAGGTAATACTTTATAATATAAAACAGTTTAGTTACGAGAAAATTGTTGTTTCATAGATGGGACAGTTTTACTATGCTGCCAAAGCCTTTGATGTTCTGGAGAGATTAGACCCCAATCCTGAGTACTGGGAGGGAAAGCGAGGGGCCTGTGTGGGCGTTTTCCAGATGATCATTGCAGGGCATGAGCCCAGGTAAGAGTCCTTACCCTTACTGGTTATCTGTCTCATAAGAGGACATCTGCTATCTTTGTAAATGCTTCAAGTTGGATAGTTTGTCAAAGGTATGAAGGATTCTGTGTGTAAACTGTACTTTATATCATTGGGCAAGTATGTTTCACCAATCGCAATTATGTAAATAAACCACCACGATAATCACTGTTTGTGGTGTTCTGGTAAATATGGCTTTTGTAATCTGAGGTAACCACTGTATAGCGAGTACAGTTATTGGTACTGCTGTATATTTTGCTGCATTAAGAGTCAGTCCATGCTTATTCTACTTATGCATCTGTAAGCTTGATTCATTTCTATTGCTTATGATCTTGCTTTGTCTATCAAAGTTTTCCATTTAAGAATTTTTTATCAACTATTATAATCTAAAACTTCTGATTCAGTCTATATTTAGACCCAACAATCAACAGAATACTTCTACTCTTCTTTAAAAAAATTTTAAACAGAAAACTTAAGAATTATATTTTCTTTTTTCTGCAGAGACAAATTACAGGAAGTTGTTCAATTACTCAGAAACACTAGCAACCCCCAAGTTGAATACATAACTCGCACCATGAAAAAGTGGGCTCGTGACAATCAAGTCAACATACAACCCTAAATCAACGACTCTTGAATTGGATAGATTTTTTTTTTTAAAATAGGCATGCTCCATCTTTCTTGTTTATTTGTTGTTCAAGCACATCATTTTTTTAAATTTTATGTTGTGAAATATATGACTTGAACACTATGAATGCTGATCATTTCTGGTTCAGTTTTCTTTTTATGGTTGCACAATCCAAACAAAAGAAGCGAGTTTAATATGTTAGAGGTCTTGATATACAGTTGTGGGTATGGTGTGTTTGTGATCTTGCGGGATAAATATAAAGGTTATCTATATATGCATGCTTAGACTCAATGTAGTAGAATAATAGGTACAATGAACAACCACATAATATTCAAAGTTTTTTTTTCAAGTTGAACTAAAGAGATTTAATAGCTATGTGTGCAAGATACATGTATATTAAACCTGTCCAATAAAAAAAAAAGTATTTATTGAAAAAAATAAGTTATAATGAAAAAGGAACATGGTTCTTTTACATACTAGTATCTTAATTTGATATTGGAGAATTTTTCTGAATTCAAATAACATTTTGTGGAGGAAAAATTAAATTGCCCACTAAATAACAATGTAAATAGTGTAGATTAATTACTAATGCAATTTTTTTTTATTTTTGACCATAAAAATTTTTAGTGTAGGGTTATTACACTAGATCTAGACACACCATTATTTAATGCACTTAATAAGGCTTTCTGTATTAAATGTAGCACTAATAAACTAGGTAGTGAGTAGACACTACTACATTTTAAAACTTATGCATTTCTTTTAGGTGTTTGGTATGACATAAATTACCATTTTTCCTTGGTTATCTCCCTTTGTGGCTCTCATTGTGTGGTGGCGCTGGGGTAGTAAAGCATGATTTTAACATTGTACTTTGTAGGGACACCTTGAGGGACGTGATCAACATGCTGCGTAACACCAGTAATCCACAGGTGGAGTACATTATCCGCACGATGAAGAAGTGGGCCAAGGAAAATCTGGTTCCTCTTCCATAGTCCCTCCTCTTAAATATAACACTGTAGTTTTTCTGCTTCAGGCAACAAAACTAAAAGAAACTGACATTTTTGTTATTTATTGTAGTGCACATGCATGTATGTGTTAATGCATGACTTTGAAGCATGTAACATATGCACTACATGTATATTGCATGTATATAGATGTTGCAAACCATTGCATGGACTCTTGACAGATGACATTTTTCTTCAACACACAGTGTTGTTTTAACAAATACTGTAGTGGAATTCAGTGGTATTGATTAAGCTTCTTGATCAAGGAGTGCGTCATGTATGACTTTTGCAATTCTTAGCAAAGTGAAATTTCCGTCCAGTGATGTATACTTGTTATATCATGTATATGTGTTTTCTAAAATGCTATAAAGAAAAAAAATACAGAAAACGAGAGAATAAATTTATTAATAAGTATTTTTTTTTTTTTTTTTGGCATTTATTCTTGAGTGTGTAGTCCAAAAAAAATATATTTCATCTAAGGCCATTCAAAGTTTTTTTCTGTATTTAGCGTAAATAAAAATAACACACATACACACCCAAAAAATCCACACATACAATTGTAATGCAGTTTACTGGGATAGACATTTACACATTCTTTTAATTTTTCCCCCCAAAGATTTGGATTCCAGTTTACTAGTAGTTTTTATTAATATGAGAAGAAAATTATCAACTGATGATGATATAAATATTCCGATAATGTGTTTCTTCCTGTTGGTTTCCCGGATAGAAACATAGATTGATTTTAGGGTGGACGCTGAACATAGAAAAACACGCATAAGCAATACTAGTCCCCAATTAGCAAGTGTAATCTGGTTCCCCTTAAAAAAAAAATTAAAAATGATGGTCATAATTCCATCAAAAATCGTTGAAGCAGAACAAATGCAAATTTCTTCTATGACTTTAAGGTGGACTCACATACCAAACATCAGCTCAATATTTGCAAGCGTTTAGGGGAAAAAAATTCGGAAAACCAAGTGGGACAAACAGAGGGACAGACTAGGAGGAAACCTATAATCCCCTTCGGTTTCACCGGTAGGGGACAAACAAAAAAATCTTGGAATGGCCTAAACTTGAGTATTTCCATATTTATTGATAAATGAAGAATATGTTTGCAAACAGAACATAAGCAAAACGTAAGCATTTTCAACTTGTTCTGCAGAATAATTTCTATTCTGGGGGTCATTGATTGTTCATGGACAATCAAAATCAAGTCGAACAAGCATTCTGAGAGTATTGCATTAGCAATACTAGTCCCCTACCGGTAACGGGTGAGTTCGCATTTGCTGATGGGGACTAGTTTTGCTTATGTATGTTTTTCTATGTTCAGCGTCCACCCTAAAACCAAAATCACCTCAGTATCTGCAAGAGTTTAGAGAAAAAGTGCGGAAAACCAATTAAGACAGACTGACAGACAGACGCGGAGGAAACCTATAGTCCCCCCGGTTTCACCGGTAGGGGACTAATAAATGAACCGATACGTAGAGTTACCGTTCGTGGGGTGTAAATAGTGGGAATTTACGAACAATGGTCCCCCACAAAAAAAAAATAAATATTCATTGTATTTTCCAAACAAAATCTTAGAAATTATAAAGAGCTGGCAAGAGACCTATGAATGGCGTTGATGTATAATATCCTTATTTCGATATTGAATGAATTTCACCTAAAAAAAGAACTATGTCAGAAAAGGTCAATCAACTAGAAATTGGTCCCATCTTCGCAATCTAAGGCTCTACATCGATCGGAAACTCTTGGCTTTTGAAGATGGATCCATCCATATACATGTATCCGTTATCGTAGCATGTTTTAGCGAATTCTTTGCTATGTAAGCAGATTATTGTGTGTACCCTGCAGTAGTAATGGTGATGGAACTTCGAGCACAACTGCCTCGGTGGCCATTTTGTCATGAAGCCAAATAGAGGACGACTACCCAGAAAATAATGACGAGATAAACATCCTCATTTTCTTGTTTATTTGCACAAATATACACGAACTCTCCAAAAAGATACATTGAAATTGTACAAATATAAATCTCGTGTATAAATATCAAATTATAATTACATCACAATATTCATAACAATAATGATACGACGATATTGGCAAACCATTATCAAGAACAACAAACAAAGAAATGAAAGGTCAAAAAATAAAAATACACAAAACTACAACAAGGGGGGTCATGGACAGACACAAGACTTGTGCCAATAAGACAAGGATTTACTGAAGGGAGTAGTCTGGAAAGTCACACGTAAATCATTGTGGTTGTTGAGACAAATTGTTTGCGTATAGGTCGATCTCGGCGATAGGTCGGTCAGTAGCATTTGGTTTACTCTGGCAGTAAAAAATAGGATTGATCCGCAGTTAGACTGGAAATATCCAGTGTATGATTTTGGAAACTATTGTTGGAGATGGATATGAGAATACGACCTTACATTTCACTAATCTGAAAAGGAAGACAAATTCTGTCATTTACTATTAACAACTGTAAGCTATTTCAAACCCCCAAAATAACACGAGAGGAGAAGCAAGTTTAGAAAGCTGTGAAAGGGAAAACAGAATAAAAGTAGAAAACAGAGGTGCGAATTCAAGGCATGCAATTACGTAATTTTGGCAATATCCTATGTAAAATGCTATACATACAGTCTACGAATTGTAACAAGTCACTGAGGGAAAACACCTGTTGATTGGCGGTCTCCGCCGGAGAGGAGCAACCACCTGTAAAACAGGGCCGTGTCTGAGTACACACTAAAGAGATAGACACATGCAATATTAGTGTTAAATATATTAAAAACAACCTAGTTTACAGAGCGAATGTAGAGGATGTGCGAAAGCGTCAGTATAGAGAAATAGAAAACATATTCAGATATTATCAAAAAAAAAAGGTCATACGTTACTCTGGATTATTAGTGTGCTGCAGTGGTTAATGGATATACATTTTAATAAACGTTTTCGGAGTGTAACTTGTAGTGTACAATTAGTAACTTGGTATGAGTTTTAATATGTGTAAAGAATTATTTTACGAAGTTAAATTTTTGTTCATTTTTTTTTTTCGATAAGGGTACATGTACGTTATAAATGTTTACCATTTCAAAATTTTTTGCAAATCTGAAGGTCATACAGATATATTTCTGTGTAAACTTTTGTGCAAATAATTGAGGCATATTTTAACTGGAAAAACGAAAAAAAGAGAAGAAAACGTTTTTTAAAAAGTCTTGAAACCAAGAAGACAAAATTATAACCTTCATTCATTATATAATGATGATGATAGGGTTGTTAAAACGTAAACGTAACATTCTCGCGTCATCACTAAACATGGTTATGCCACAAGCACTTCTTTTCAGCTAAAATGCGGTGTTGTGACGCTTTCGCACGTGACACTTTGCTTATTATCAAAGGGACTACATGTACAACATGTATAAGGAATATGTCAAGAACGTATTCTACCTTCTCATAGGGACTACATGTATAAGGAATATGTCAAGAACTTATTCTACCTACTATCATAGGGACTAAATGTATAAGGAATATGTCAAGAACTTATTCTACCTACTATCATAGGGACTACATGTATAAGGAATTTGTCAAAAACTTATTCTACCTACTATCATAGGAATTACATGAATAAGGAATATGTCAAGAACTTATTCTACCTTCTAATCACGTACAACGAATATGTCAAGAACTTATTCTACCTTCTATCATAGGGACTAAATGTATAAGGAATATGTCAAAAACTTATTCTACCTTCTATCATTGGGACTACATGTATAGGGAATATGTCAAGAACTTATTCTACCTTATATCATAGGGACTATATGTATAAGAAATATGTCAAAAACTTATTCTACCTTCTATCATAGGGACTACATGTCTAAGAAATGTGTCAAGAACTTATTCTACCTTCTATCATAGGGACTACATGTATGAGGAATATGTCAAGAACTTATTCTACCTTCTATCATAGGGACTATATGTATAAGAATGTGTCAAGAACTTATTCTACCTTCTATCATAGGGACTACATGTATATGTCAAGATCTTATTCTACCTACTATCATATGGACTACATGTACATGTATATGTCAAGAACTTATTCTACCTACTATCATAGGGACTACATGTATAGGGAATATGTCAATAACTTATTCCACCTTCTATCATAGGGACTATATGTATAAGGAATATGTCAAAAACTTATTCTACCTTCTATCATAGGGACTACATGTCTAAGGAATGTGTCAAGAACTTATTCTACCTTCTATCATAGGGACTACATGTATAAGGAATATGTCAAGAACTTATTCTACCTTCTATCATAGGGACTACATGTATAAGGAATATGTCAAGAACTTATTCTACCTACTATCATATGGACTACATGTATAAGGAAGATGTCAAGAACTTATTCTACCTACTATCATATGGACTACATGTATATGTCAAAAACTTATTCTACCTTCTATCATAGGGACTTCATGTACAAGGAATATGTCAAGAACTTATTCTACCTTCTATAATAGGGACTACATGTACATGTATAAGGAATATGTCAAAAACTTATTCTACCTTCTATCATAGGGATTACATACGTGTAAGGAATATGTCAAGAACTTATTCTACCTTCTATCATAGGGACTACATGTATGAGGAATATGTCAAGAACTTATTCTACCTTCTATCATAGGGACTACATGTATATGTCAAGAACTTATTCGACCTTCTATCATAGGAACTACATGTATATGTCAAGAACTTATTCTACCTACTATCATGACTACATACGTATAAGGAAATAAAGGAATATGTCAAGAACTTATTCTACCTTCTATCATAGGGACTACATATATATATAAGGAATATGCCAAGAACTTATTCTACCTACTATCATAGCGACTACATGTATAAGGAATGTGTCAAGAACTTATTCTACCTTTTATTATAGGGACTACATGTATATGTCAAGAACTTATTCTACCTTCTATCATAGGGACTACGTGTATAAGGAATATGTAAGAACTATTATCATAGGGACTACATGTATAAAGAAGACGAGTGACCAAAAACCTGTTGAGCTCATATTCGTAGGGGAAGAATTGTTTTTCTTTACATTAGAACGTTATCCAAATGTGCATATAAAAGCAGATCGTTTACGGAAAAACCTTTGTCATCGATCCTTTTAATTGTCTGTCAATTTCCATTGACGAAAAAAAAAATTAATGCACATTTATGATAACACTTAGTTTTCATTTTCAGATCTTTATAAGTTAAACATTTAATTTTTATTTTCAAATACATTTGTGCAGGTTGCCTTCGTTTCCAATATTATAACTAGATGCCGTCATAAAATATATTCTACTACGGTTATTGCAAAGATCAAAGAAATGCCGCGACCATTATTCTCCAATAAATCACAAACG